TAATGAAGTGTGAAGTCATTTACACCTTTTTACCTTTCATTTTGCTGAGTAGGAGTGTGTAGGCACGGGCAGTTAGCACGGAATAAACACACTGTAAACTCACACCATCAATTAATTTCTTCTTGTGTCCATGCTCTGAGACAGAGGAACACCCTGTTTTGGGATGGTGGGTGGGTGAGGAGAGCTGTGAGGAGGATATTTTGTCAAAACAAAGCTGCTTCTGCACATATGTTGTATAAAAAGCAAGTGGTTGAGAAGCCTTACGGCCACAGACTTTGTGTGTGTAGACTTCCCTCCGTCCTGGCTGTCTCAGGCTGACTCAAGGCATCACCATCATGCCAGCTCTGCCCTGGAGAACAGCATGGTTTGGGGTCACCTACAGAAGCAGGAGCCAAAGTGGGCAAGGTAGCATCTTCAACACAGGTGCCAAAACTTCCACTGAAATTGGTAGACACCCAAACCCTTTTCTGAGTGTTCCTGTACCCACAAAGGCACAAAATAAAATAGTTTTGCTTGATTCTGCAGGATAAGATGGGAAGATTTTGTGGAGACGATCAATAAATAAATAAATTCTGAGCTTACTTAAGTATTTATTGTGTTGTTGGAGGTGTTGGAGGAATAGACATGCCCCCAAGTAGTCTTGTGTCCCACATCTACCACAAGCTTGGATGTGTCCTGTGTCCTTGGAGTATTATCATGCAACCCATCTCTGGATTTTTCAGCTTAATTATGCTGTTTAGTTTTCCTTTAAGAGTCTCTGAGGACTGCACAGGCCCTTTCTGTGGTGCCTGTGGGTGCTCTTTCACAGCCCTAACATCTCAAGGCTTAGATGAGACCCAGAGTGACCTGGACCTCCTGTGTGCTGTTTTTCCAGAAATTTCCCATGTTTGCAGTGCTCTTTAGATTCCTTTGCTGGAAGGACAAGGGCAGCATCCCCTCCAGTCTGGTGAGGATGAATAAATATAGCAATTACAGTGCACAGAAAGGGTCAGCCCAGGAGCTGCTGGAAGCAACCCCAGCAGCATTGCCTTAGCACAGCTCTTGCAGCTAAACAAACAAACAAAAAAACATTATTATTGTTATTAATACTACTACTATTACTATTATTTTAAAGTCACTTTTTCTGGGTAACATTATGTTGTGAAATTAGGTCTGGGTGTTAAAATACTCTCCTGACTCTGGAGTTTTCCACAGGGGTTAAGATAATGTGGCAGAGCCGCTGATGTACAGTGCTGGTTGGTGAGCGAGCCGAGATAAACCAACCAGCCTAACCACAGGGACCTGTTTTCTTTCTGCACCGGAAACACCTGCCAAAAGGCTTCAACAGGGTTGTATGAAGAAAAGCCCCAAATCAAACTCCATCCATACAGTAGAAGGCTGTGAGATGATATTTGGCCTCTCAGCAAATGGCTTGAATCTGGTACATTTTCTGTGTGTACTGCTTTGCCCATTAGGCAGATCTAACTCAGTGCTGGAGACTCTGATGGTGACAATCCCCGTAGCCCATGAAAGCCTTCCCTCGAGTCTTTCAAGCCCAGCTAGGTCTGACTGCTCCTAACCCTTCAAACATCACCTCCTACCCACTCCTCTGGCCATGGGAGCACCTCCCAATGGGCTGTGGGAGCTGTAACAGTCACTGCACATGCCTTGTCAGATGTCAGCTAGGAAGGCAGCTAATTTCCTATGTAGGTGGTTCCCAGGGATAATACAAACATGGCAACAACATGAAAGATGTGTTCTTTGGGAGCACCGGGTATTTTAACTCATTCCCTTGCAGTTCAACAGGGAGATCTGGAGAAGTCTGACACCACTTACTATTCATAAATACAGGCAAGATGACTGGAATACGGGGTCAGCACCACACCATGCTCATTCGGCAACAGGTGGCAGTAAAGCTGTAGCAGGGGATCTACCAGATGCACAACAGGGAATTATTAAATTATGGCTTTCTATTGTGATGTGCTCTGTATGTAGAGCAGAGTAACAGTTTGCTGTACCTGAAATTCCTCTTGGAATACTGAAAAATGCAATACTAAGTAGGTACACAGAGAAGCCAACCTGGGTAGGTCCTGAAAGCACTGATATGAAATACTGCAAGGGATGCCATTATTTCAAATGCCTTTGGTATAATAGAAGGTGACACTCAACATTACGAAGGTGCTTCTCAGATATGTGATTTAATCACTGACAAATCTAAGAAGTACCCCAATTAGCAGAGGTGGGTTATTTATGTTAGCCATCTCTTAACAAATGTTCTCTGCTACAAGGGATCCTTTGAACTCAGCAAGGTCACCTTTGATAGGTTAGCTTCTTCTCAATTAAAGGCTTCTTTTACTCAGTATCTCAGTCTGATACAGTTGAGAAGGGCTCAGGGAAGGATCTAATTGTCAGGGGGCAGGCCCACATACATAGAAACTGAGACAACACCAGCAGCTGCTTAAGTTGGACGCAGCTGCTATGCAACTGCAGCCTGGACAACATCAGTTTCTCTGTTAAGTTAGCAGCTGAACTCTCTTCATATCCACAGCTTAGCTTCAAATTCAGCCAGCTTTATTTCTCATTCCATCAGGCTGTAAATGGGATGCATGCCTGTACCAAGTTAACATGTCACTGTTGTGCAGAATTGCAGTCTTTGACCAGCACACAGCAAAAAGACCAGAAGAGTTTATGAAAAGAAAAGGCAGTTTAATAAAAAATTACATAAGGTTAACATACAGCCAGCACAAATATGCTGTATGGATACATACCAATGGACCCACAAGTCACAATAGTTTTAAAACCAAGACAGTCTCAAAGCCATCTTGGGTGAGAAAAGTAGTAGTTACGCCTTTTCTACAACTTAGCAGGATACTGAAACTATATTCAGTAGGAAACATCTCTGCATTGCAGAAAATATCCATTACCACGGATGTCTAACGGAAAGCTGTAATTATGTCCTCTTCCAACTAATTCATCTCCACCTTGCGATTCTGCCAATGGCTTCATCAGAATACCCATGAAGACCACGCTGTTACAAGAGCCCCCAGCCAGAAGGAATGCACACCATAATGAGTTGGAGGACGTCCAGCAAGTCCAAGAGCACGTCGGAAGACTGTTAGGAACTCCCTCTTTGTGACAGGTCTACTATCCAAATGCACAAAGAGAGGACCCTCTCCCCGTGGCCGTGCTGCCACATAGACACGGAGAGCTTTAATAGGACATACCCACATCTCACTAGAAAGTGCCAGTTGGACTAAAGACCTTTCTTGACCTATTTGAGATGCATGCAAGCAAAGGTTTGCACTCCAGCCAGTCAGCCGGAGATCACTCAAGTACAAGAGCTTTGGCTGCACTACATTTTTGTGATTTGCCACTATTTCTTCTGTGCGTAGTGCCCCCCAGAAAGCCACAGTAAATAAGGCACGGAACAATATACACTCATAAGGAGAGCTACACACAGACTCCAGAGTTCCCAGGAGAGATCTTAACACTTCAATTGTTACAGGAGAGTATTTATCTTTTGAAAGAGCAGTCTTACATTTCAATCTTGATATCATGTGACAGACAGCAGGGTCTTGAAGAGGATCAGGATGATCTACCATTTTGGAGATGAAAGATAGTCCTTCCATGTACATTATTATTTTTGTGGGAGGCAGATCCTGGCACTCCATGATGGCCAAGAACCCTTTCATTTGACTCACTGGAACTGGCCAAACTGCACACAGTGCCATGTATTCTCTAAAGGCAAGAAAATTCTTCAGGCCCTCACAGTAAAGCTGCCATTGCTGGTTACTTCTTGAGCCCTCCAGTAACATAAGAGTCTTCAGGGGCCAAGGACCTAAGGGATGCTTCTCAGAAACATGGCTGAGCTCATCTGCAGAAAGAAACCAAGATTAGCAATGGTAAGCAAGGCAGTCTCACTGACAAGCAGACAAAAGCTTCTTTCCTTACAACACCCTGCAACTATTGTTTGAGCTTCTCTGAAGAAAACAAAACAAACAAACAAACAAAGAAAAACAAGACAAAAACTTTACAAGAATGTCCCTTGCATTTTTAGGACTCTCCTGTAGAGTGACAAGGATGAAGGGTTAAGTTAAGTGTAAGAACACCCCATGACTTTTCTTAGAGCAATGCGCCAAGCCTAGCTAGGGACTCAGAACAACACCTCAACGTTCTGCAACCCCAGGTCAAGATGAACACGCACAAGAGTCTGGAAGTGACAAAAACACATATTATAAATAAATTCTTAGTGCATGCAGCTCCCAGCAGGCTTCCTACACAGGGGTCAGAGCCCAAAGAAAGAGCATGCCAACCTCCCACTTCACTCGGCCACACCATGCAGCCCCCCCAAGCACAACCCCCTCAGCACTACACCTACCCACTCCGTCCCTGCCACCAGGCTCCTGTCCGCTTGAACCCAGCCACCCAGTGCAGCCATTTGGACTACGCAGCAGCCACTCCATGCCGGGTTCTCGCCCCAGCAAGGCGAGGATCTCCCAGAACGGCGAAGGGCTGGTAGCAGCCGGCTCGACCGCACTCTCAGAGCGCCACATCGCCAACAAAGCGACGTCCCGAACGCAGCACAACGACGCGCCCGTTGCACCATTTTGTACCCTGGCCCAAACTCCCGGCCAATGACAAGGACTGTCTCTCAGCCAATCGCGGAATCCGTGCCGGGGGAGAACGCTGGGGCGGTCTCGGCGCGGAGGGCAGTTCGCACCTCGGGCCGCTTCCTGCCGCCGGGCGGGCCTCATCTCGTAGGAAGCGCCAAGGAAGTGTCATGTGCTACTTATCGCCTCATTAGACCGCAATTAAGGGCTAACAAAGAGCGCCCTTTTGAGTACAGGAATCGGCTCACGGCCCCTTCGCACCTTCCGCCCCGCCCACTCCGGCCGGACAGTCAATGGCAGCACTGTGCGCTCCCCGCTTTGCTGCGAGTGCCCAATCGGCGGGCGCCGCGGGCTGCAGCGTGGCTATTAAACAGCCCGCGCTGATGAGCGAACTGACTTCGCGCTGCTGTGGCTGAAGTACAGCGCTCGTCATGTCGCGCAGTGGCCGCGCTGCGAGTGGGGCTGCGGCCTCTTCACCTTTCTGGGAGATGCTGACCCTGTTGGCCCAGGAGCCGGGCGTGGAGTGGCTGAAGCTGGGCCTCTCCGGACAGGCGGCTGTTGCATCGCCGTGCAGAACGGGGCAGAGGACCGCGTGCAGGACCCAGGCGGCGGGGCGGTGCGGGGAGCTCGGCGCGGCAGCGGGTAGGTGAGCACATGTGTCGGCGGCAAAGCACCTGCTGTGCTCTGCCTGCGGCGGCTCTCGCCTTTGTTTTTCTCGAACTCTTGTGTGAGGCAAGAGTTCTGGGAGACCTCGAGCCTTATTTCTAAGATGGGAAGCACTCTGCCTTCTGGCAGGAAGGTACTGCGTGCCCTTCTTGGTTAGACGGTCTGCAGACCATGCTCGCGAGGCTTGGTTTTAGCTGAGCTTTTGTTTACTTTCTCTGGTACTGCTCTGAATTACTGGAGCACTGCCAGATGTTGTGCCTGAGAATGCGTCAGGTGTTCCTTATAATCCTTCTCACCTGAAGAATGTCTCGTTAACAGCTCAGGGTTTAGCGATGTGTGAGCTCGGTGTCTATAGCCAGATAAACTGCTGGGGCATCACTCAAGTGATGTGCCTTGCACAGTGGGATGCTGTCTTTATTGCAGTTTGGGTGGTGTGCTTGTTCTGGTTGTGCTAATGTGAATCCTGTCTTGTAGGACGGGAGGCTGATTCTTCTTGGAAACACTCACTGGGACCTCAGCCTCTGAAGACATTGTTGTTATTGGAGTGCTCGGGGGATGTTAGGCTTTGGCAAGCCTACCTTGAGGGGCTGAAGAAATTTCTCGCCTTTAGGAAGGTCATGGAAATGCCTGCAGCCTGGCCCATTCCAGAGGATCAAGTTAGGGGATTTTTAGCTGTGGAGTCTCTTTACTCCTCCTCAAAAACATTGGTGTATGTGGCAGCCTTGTCTTACTTATCAAGACTGTCTGGTAATTCTGACCCTCTGGAAGATGCTATAACCCGTTGGATGGTAATGGGGTTGAGATGTCAAGTGGGCATCCTGAGGGAAAAATATGCTCCTATAACAATTGAGGTGTTACGATCTCTTTTAGGAGCTCTGGAATCTGTTTGTGTATCCCGTTATGAATGCTTACTGTTCCGTGCATTGTTCACAGTGGCTTTTTTTGGTGCACTTCGAATAAGAGAGGTGGTGGCAAAGCACCGTAATGTACTGCAGCCTGAACTGCTCTACCTGAGGGACATGCAGGTGACAGAAGGCAGAGTGGTGTTTCGCCTGCGTAACTCTCCTGTCGACCGGGAGAGACCCATCATCAGCCTTGCTCTGTCAGGAGAACCGTGGGTGTGCCCTGTCCTGGCCCTCCGGAGCTTTGTGGCTGTGCGTTCAAGGCTGGAAGGGCCGCTCTTTGTGCACAGGGACAACGTGCCTGTAACGAAGAGGGATTTCCTGACTGTTCTCAGGTGGACCCTTAGGCTGCTGGGGCTGCCCCTGGAGCAGTACGGTGTGCACTCCTTCTGGCTGGGGACTATCATCACTGCTGCACGTTGCGGTTATCCCAGGGAGGATGTCACTCGCCTGGCAAGGTGGCCGTGTGTGTTCCCAGACAAGTCATAGCCATGGAGACAAAAGAAGCTAGTGGTTTCTTTCTGTAGGAGTTTTAACAACATAAATTACTGCCAAGGACTATAAACTAACATTACCATCTGTAATGAATGTTCTACCTCACTGTGGATATGGTCTGTGAAGTTCTCTTGTACTTGTTTTCACTGTATACTGTTGAGGGTGGGGGGACTGTCAAACTTGCTATTCCTGCAGATGCTTTTATATTGTATAACTTAAGTTAATAAATGCTTCCTTTTTAAAAGTGCAGTCTATGCTTACTGGTAATATTATTCTTTATCTGGAGAAGTTGTAGACTTTGGCTTTTTTTTTTCTTTGAGCAGTATGTTTCTAAAGTTTTGAAAAACAATCACCTCAGCACTGTATAGTAGGCATTGTAAAATATTGTAGTTAACTATAACGTATGTTGGTGTTAGACGTCAAGCTATGGTAAAAGATGTTGCTGAGGTCAAAAGGGAAACAAGCATGTTACTAGCCTAAGAACAGGCACCAAAGGCTGAGTTCTTTTTTTTTTTTTTTAAAAACAAACAAACACACACCCATGTTGGTACTCATCTGTTCAAAACCGGTATCTTTATTCAGGAAATATTGTCTCCAAAAGTATTTCTTTGTCTGTTAACCCCAATTTCCTCTGAGCATAATTAGTCTGATTAGAGTTTTAAACAACTAAACCAGTACAGAGTTCACTTAATGGGTAATGATATCCTTAGGTTATATTACTTGTTCATTATTCAGTCTGCTCTTTCATTTTTGTGAATTTGAAGATACTTACTTACACTGAGGAGTCTTCAACTGTAATCATGAAATATAATGGCTTGAGTGCTTCCAATTTTGTGGTTGCAGCACTTGGGGACATGTGATGGAATATATTTTTCACCATGTGGCAGGACAAGAAAGGGGCATGGTGGGTCTGATGGTGCCCTGCCTGAGCACTACAGTAAGCAAGCCTACTGATGGTCCTTCCTGCTATCACTGCTCCAAACCTTGAACAAAGGTGTTGACCAATAGAGAGTTCTGAAATTTTCTCTATGCTGTGTCCTTTTTCTAGCAACAGTGTGGGTTATAGAAGTAAAGGAGCTGTCTGAAACTTAATGCTGGTGTGATTTCCATAGAAATAATTAGGCAGGGTTTCCCAGGTCTTCTAATCGCTCTACAGGATACCACCACTCTGCTACTCTTTACCCTGAGTAGCATTGTGTTCAGTGTGGGATTTAATGCAGTGAAGCATCTTTAGTGGTTGCTATCATGTCTGAGATCTTTGTTTTAACTGCATTTCAGTTGAAAGCTATTTGTGTTTCACTGCCTGGCTTTGTTCACTGAAGTGCTTGTTTGTGTAGTAATTTCTGCATAGAATCTAAGTAAAGCTGAGGTGATGCGAGTGTGGCATTTGGCAGGACTTGTCTAGAGGTACCCACTGAGCAGAGACTCAAAGCAGAACTCTGCTCTGGGCAGGCTTTAATATGGTTTTGCTGCCTTTGGTGTATGTGATGTCTGCTCCTTGGCTTTACCCAGGTTTTCCCCAGCTCCTTATGCTGTACCCAAATGTGCTAGCTCCATAGTGCTGTGTTGTCATGCTGTGGAGGGTGTGTGTTGGGCAATGGGAGTCTGGTTATGTCAATGCTTTTCCTGTAAGAGTTGACAAGAGTGTTTAGTATGAATGGTAGCCCTCATGGTTGATGCATTTGCTGAAATTGTGTGCTAGATGATGACACAGAAGGATGCAAATCATAGAATCATAGAATCACTGAGGTTGGAAAAGACATCCAAGATCATCTTTCTAACAAAACAAAAATCCCAGAACCAAAACCTTGATAAATATGTAGCTGAGTAATCAAGCTCCAGAATACAAAGGCTGCTTGTGAGCTGTCAGTAACTGTTACTGAAAATGATGATTAGGAAGCCATCTCCTTTTCCCCCTGGAAGAAGGGCAGACTTGCCAAAGAATTGTCTTCAGCCAAACTGACATTGGCAATAGAAAAGCTAGTTTGATATTCACCTTCATGTTGATGAGGCTTCAATAGGGAGCAAAACTGGTATTTTAGGTTTACTGGTATCTCCTTCAAGGTAGCAGTAGAGACTGGCTGAGGATGTGTTGGTAATACTGCCTCAATGATTTCAGCAGTAAGTTGCCCTTGTCAAAAAGGGAGACCAGGTAGCCTTGCAAATAGTTCAGTTTTATATATAGTATCTGTCTTTGGTGTGATATACAAGGCAGAAGAGGAAGAATTACCTTTGTTCTGATTTTTGTCTACGTTCTGTAGTTGTCACCACAGATTTTTTTTTTTGTTTAGTACCCCTATAATGGAAGTGAAATCTAGGACATAGCTGGAGAGGTGATGGCGGCTCAACTTCACTCAGTTGTATGATCTTAGCACTGAAATGAGTAGAAATCTGTCTAAGGAACAGTTCTTGTAGAGGTAATTACCTATTCTTAGTTATTTAAAAAGCTCCTTTTTTGATAGGCTGGCATATTTTTTGAGAGAGCAGAGTTATAAATGTAGTGCTCGATCTGTATTTGCTGGAGCTGTAGGACTGCTTTTATGACAAAATATGTTTTCTTCTGAATATTTTAGGAGTTTGACAACTCATCAGCTTAGAATCCTAAAATGTTTTTTTTTTTTTTTTCCAGTTAACATTAATATTTGAAAGTGTTGTGGCTTTTTGGTTGTTTTTGTTTTTTACTGTTCTAAATAATCCTGAATAGAAGCTGAGGAGGGATACAAGATACTTTATTTAAGAAGCAAAATGGAGAATGACTTCAAGTCAGTATTCTTTCTTATGCTAGTTAATGATTTCATTCTTTTTCTCAAAGTAAGGCTAGAAGACTAAGCATACAGGCTCCAGAGCGCTGTATTACTCTTGTACTGCTGATCACTGTCTGCTGGGGGAATTTACTGTGTTCCACTGTGAGTTACTGTTCAGAGACTGATGAGTCAGTACTCATGTAGAAACCTGAACTCTTACAGTTTCTACAATTTTTTGATTGCCGTGTTTAGACTCTATTTAAGGAAAAAAAGTAGTGATAGATTTTTGGGTTTTAGAAGTCTTTCTTTGTATGTCTGGTTGGTAAGCCTTTGATTTGATTCTGGTTTTGATCCTTATATAAAATGTATCTTCCTTAGAGAATGACTAAAGAAGTAAAGTTACCCTTTAATTACTACAGCACTAGTTAATCGAGTATCAAGCTTATGTCACTGGTTACATTTTGTGCTGTTGAATTATACTTCATAGATCATTTTTGTTCCTTGAGTAGATGCAATTCGTTAGAAACAGCGCCTTTGCATATCTACCGAAAGAAAACTAGGCAATTAAGTTAGTATTTGCTGGTTTCACACCAGGATCCACAGTACATCTTGTTCTTGCTTGTAGAATGAAAATATCCCCTGCTAGTCTGACTGCAGCATTCAGTATCATCTGATTCCAAAAACCCAAGTCCAGAAAGCTAAAGACAGCAAATGCCTTTCAACTTAGGGTTTTCTTTTTAGGCTTTGTATGATGGCTTTATATAGAGAATTATTCCTGCTATAGAAACTGCTGAAGAGAGTTTTGAGGTGCAATCAATTGCATCTCCAGACCCATATAGTTATTGTCTGCAATCAGCACCTGAATGGTAAGTGACTGACAAAAGAAGACCTTGAGAATAATGTAGAAGGAAAAAAAAATTCCATTATGTTATTGTCTGAAATAGCCTAAAAGTGCCTTTGCCATACCGAGAAATCTTTTCTGTCACCGTGACTTCCTTCTGTAATTTAGAAGGAAGATATATTTATGACCATAACATATGTATATCCAGTAGTTGAAATGTTTACTTCTTCCCTGTAAAGACTTGATTATTTTTCTGCATAGCAAAAAAGACACCAGACATTGTGCGGTAGCTCTAGTGCCAGCATGTAGGGCATGTCATGCCAGCACTCTGCTTTGTTTTCCCTGCTCTGGCTTTCTGTAGAAGATATTTCATTTCATATTCTCACATATTACCTCCTCAGAGGTTTGTAATTGCATAGGCTGCGACCTTGGAAGCAGTAAGTGGTACTAAAGGAAGAGCAGTGGGTTTTTGATCAAGATGGATAAAGAGGGCTCTGGTGGGTGTTGTAATACTGTGACATAAATCTGGCAGAGGAGAAAGAATTAGAGAACTTGTACCACAAAACCCATGCTTTCTTCCCTATGTGTAGCTTCCCATCAGGAGCAAATGAGCTTTTGGAGTACAGACCTGCACATGTCTTTATTAGTAATACACTTGGATGAGAGCAGCTCTCTGAAGTAGCACTATTAATATGCTGCTTTTGCTAGTGTCCAGGAGTACAGCCAGTAACACTTCTGTTGCTAGGACTGTTCCTACTTATAACTGTTTGTATGCTGTTTTTTTAATTCACATTTGAGGAACTGGCTTTTGCGGTTTCACATAGATTTTCCAAAAGCTGTAGCTGTAGGGTCTCTGTAGGTTTGTCTGTCCACTGCAGCTCAACTAGCTGCCTGTATTAATCCCTCATGCTTTTTCTATAACGTATCGATTCTGTTTTAGATTCTGTCTCAGAGTAGAACACCCCTTCATCAAGCTGCAAGGCAGCTGAGCACTTGGCAACAATACCTCTGGCAAAGTCCCCTGCCAGTTGTTGGCAGGCAAGCAACAAAAGTTTTCCAAAGCATGCAAACCAACCAGGTATAATGCATGGTTATAACTTTTGATGTTAGACCACACATTTGTTTTATCTGAACTGTTTTTATAACCTCATATCTCCTTTTGCAGAGCTACAGAATAGGCTGTTAAGCCTCTAAGACTCAGATTAGTGTTGTTGGTTAGCATTTCTAGATAGCAGATTCTTTGATTTATGGGCAAGATAATGTTTTTCAGCACAGTCAACTAAAGAAGTAGTGAGCATTCATTTCAGTGCATCTAGTGTTGGGTGAAACACCACCTTGGCTTTAGACTATCACTTAGAACTTTGTAGATGAAAGCCAAAGGTATGAATACAGCCTCTCAAATTTGTCCTGGAGCCACCGTGTTCATCAGATCTTAAGACAAGAGATACTATCTTCAGCTCCTTGTGATGCTTTGTCCCCAAGGTATAAATGACTGTTGTGCCAGAATGAACACAGTTACAGGCTTTGAGTAAAACTGTGTGTTTACTACAGTTCTCTCAAAGGGAAATTTTTTAGCTGCGTTGGGTAAAGTAGCTGTGTTCATACTAGAAAGTGCTTTGCTGGGATTGCATACAGTTATTCTTAAACCAGTAAAAAGCTGAGAAAATAAGTG